AGTTTGAAGGATAGCCTGGGCTATAACAGGATCCTGTGGAGTGGACTAAGCGATCTGCCTGGGGTACCTAGTTGGTGGAGTGGAGGCGACGTTGGCTAGTTCTAATGGACTTCAGGCCTAGAGCAGCACGCTTACCTGCATTTAGACCTCACTATGTGAGTAGAAGGTGGGTTGTGGCTTCCTTTCGGTGGCGATTCTCTCCTAGAAGAATTTTCATGGACCACACACATTGCTCCTTAATTTCCTTACGTCGCTCACACCTGCCCTCAGTTAAGTCAGCAACACAGCACCTGGCACTAAGGTCTGTGGAATCCCAAGAAAGGACCCGAAAAAACTGCAAAGGGCAGTGGTGCGAGGCATTGTTCTCTTAATAAACAAGAAGCCATTTATAACCATAAAGCCTCCTTTTATTTGAACAATGAAAGTGTTTCTATGAGACCTGGTTTATTGGGTTTATAATTCATGCCTGGAGTAGTCCACAGAAATGTCTATGTGCCCAGGTTAAGAGTTTCCTTTTCTTCTTCTTCTTCTTCTTCTTCTTCTTCTTCTTCTTCTTCTTCTTCAGATGTGTTTGTTTTTGTTTTACGTAAATGAGTGTTTGTCTGTATGTAAGTATATGGATCATATGTGTGCCTGGTGCCCTCAGGGGCCAGAGGAGAGCATCGGCCCCTTGGAGCTGGAGTTACATGTGAGTGGGAGCCTGCCAATCTGAGTGCAGAACAGCGAACCTGGGTCCTCTTCAAGGCCATGAGTACTCTGCACTGCATGCCCAGCCATCAGGGAGAATCCTAAACCCCACTGTCTGTTGCTTTGGAGCACATGTTCCTCAACGGTGAATATGTTAGAGTGGTGTAAAATCAAGACAACCAGGAATACTCTCCGGCCCTAGAGTCGGGGCAGCCCTTACTGCCTGTGAATGCCTTCCTTGGCTGAGCTCTGGGCAGTCATGGAGTTCAGCGCTCGTTCATTGCAGTCTTGCTGATTACACTGAACATAGAACACATTCAGTCTTCATAATACAGAGTCCTTCAAAACCTTCCTTTGTTCCCTAGGATACACTGTGTCCTTGTGCTCTTCTTTCCTGTGTTAGTGATGGGAAAAGCTCCCAGATCCTGGCATCCATGCCTGGAGGGGAATGACAGTAAGATTCCTCTGAACGTTTGTTAGTTTGAAGCGAGCTTTCGAGTTTTCAGGTAGGCCTGTGCACACTGCAGCCCCTCTAGAGTTAGCCATGGTGGGCAGGAAGACACAGTGTCCTCAAGCCACTGATGTCAGTTCCCAAGCAAAAGAGACTGATTTTGTCACTCGGGTTCACCCTGGACTCACCTGGAAAATGAAGTCACCACCACTGTGAGCTGACTGTCTTTACTCAAGGAAACAAACTTCTATCTTCCAGACAGGGATGGTTTGCAGCTGAAACCTGAGTCAGGCTCCACCCCCTCCATGGAAACTGAGAGTCCCACTTCTCCCTTGATTTCATCCCTACAGCCCAAAGCTGCACAGAGGCATACCTAGGTAGCTTTTAACAAAGATGCATATAAATACAAAAGAGACCAAAGAAAGAACTTAAAATGACGAGGCACCTCCAATAAATGTTACATGAAAAATCAGGATGAGGAGAATCATCCCCCCACCACTCTCCCCTACTTTTTAAAGAAGATTTATTTATTTATTTTATGTATGTGCGTACAGTGTCTCTGTCTTCAGACACACCAGAAAAAGGCATTCCAGATGGTTGTGAGCCTCCATGTGGTTGCTGGGAATTGAACTCAGGACCACTGGAAGAAGCAGTCAGTACTGTTAACTGATGAGCCATCTCTCCAGCCTTCTCCCCAACTTTTTAAAAGACAGTTTTAGGGATTGAACACTGGACTTTGTACCCTGCTCTAAATGATTCCACACTGTGTAAAACAGTGGCTTCCAGCTGTGCCTTGCCCCGGGTGACTCCATTTACAACCAGCTGTAGGCTGTATTTTGAGTGCAGATGCTGAGACAAATACCAGCTATAAACTCAAAGTGAATTGAGATCATGTGGGTTGGTTGTGGTTGTCTTAAATTTCAACACTCATGAGGCAGAGGCAGGCAGATTTCTGAGTTCAAGGCTAGCCTGATCTACATAAGTGATCCTATGCTAGTCAGGGCTACATAGTGAAACTATCTCAGACAGACAAAATGAAAACTGAGACCATATGAACACACGAAGAGATTCAAACCCTATTTAAAATCAGGCCCAAGAACTTACTTCACATACCAGACCAAGGAGGGGGAAGGCTACCCACCTGAATGCTACAAAACAGAGGACTGACAGGCAGAGAACAGTCAGCTGCTCTGAGGCTTCAACTCAGTGTGGTTCCTCAGGGCCTTAGTTCATCATTCCAACTGTTGTCTGCTCTACAAGCCTACCTTAGGGTCCTGCCTTCCTTCAGCCTTCACACCTGGGTGTCTTAGTGTCTTGCCTAACAGCCTACAGTGACTCTCCTCCTCTTAGCCTCCTGCCTCTGCATTCTGAAAGGCCTCTTTGAACTTGAAGGCATCTTTAACCCTTTTGCAGTGATGCTGTATGTGTGTGTGCATGTGTGTGCACACACAGAGTATAATGTGTAGCTGGAGAATTTGTGTCAATATTAAGGCTGTATATTGTCTGTGTTTGCCAATAGCCAGCTGTTAAGGGCAATCAGGACTACTTGGGAAATTACAGCAAGTGAAACAGATGCAGTTATAAACTTACTTGGTAAATTCTGAGATTTTAAAAACCACAAATGTGTTTGGTTATGCTTTTGACGTTGCTTGCTCTGGGTCCAGTTTCAGCAGTACCACCCCAGGAGTTGCAGGCTGTTAGCAGGGTGGGACACAAGACTGTTGCTTCGCCTGAGTGCTGCAGGTAAACTTTGTCGTCAAAGAGCTCAAGATGCCAGAGAGTGTTCTGGAGCAGGAGGGATGGCAAGACTAAACCTTTGGGATTATTTTGAGAGTCACCCATGTCTCGAAAGTTTGTTCAAACTTGTTGGAACATCTTCTGTAGAAAAATGACCTGAAACACATTCTGCAAACCAGATGTGAAGCTTTTTGGATCCCTCACTTACAAAGGCCAATGAGTACTTTATTCAGAGAGACAAGGAAGCTGTTTAACACCCTAGAAACTGCCTCTCATATCCTCTCTACCTTCAGACTCTATGGTGGTTGGAGAAAGGGTGGGTGTGGCCACCAGTCACTCCAGAGGTCTGTCTTGCCTTTCCTGTCTGGTGGTCGGCATTTGTGAGATGTCTGCATCTCTCACCATCCCTTGACCTCTTCCCTCTCTCTGTAGACGTCTGGGCCTACACTTCGTAACGCTGAGTCTAGTTGTTTTCTGCCAGTATCTAGCTTGTACTCCTCGGGGAGCATCTGGGCTGGGAAGGGTTAATCAGAACAAGAGACCATTTCTAACATGTAGACACTAAGCTCTTAGTCACACGCACAGGCAGATCCCCTCTCACACATCATAGCAGCACCCCGAGCGTCTCTCCTGTCCCTGAGTTGTAGTGAAGGGGAACTGTTGCTGTCATCAGGATGGTCAGGTCACAACTCATCCATAAGTCTTGGTCCCCAGGGAACAGTGGTTTGCTGGTTGGGTTTTCTTTCTTTGTTTCCTTCATCAACCCTTTCTTTTCTCCTCTCCTCTCCTCTCCTCTCCTCT